AACAACAAGGTTCAGAAGTAATTGACTGTGATAAGTGACGAGTTTGTAACAACAAGGTTCAGAAGTAATTGATTGTGATAAGTGACGAGTTTGTAACAACAAGGTTCAGAAGTAATTGATTGTGATAAGTGACGAGTTTGTATAAACAAGGTTCAGAAGTAATTGATTGTGATAAGTGACGAGTTTGTAACAACAAGGTTCGGAAGTAATTGATTGTGATAAGTGACGAGTTTGTAACAACAAGGTTCGGAAGTAATTGATTGATGAGTATTCTGCCACGTTGATAACGTCCTTTTGAACTCGAATTAATTTTCCGAGGAACGATCTTTGTGTGGCCATATTGACTTTGTGCGTCTGTGACTACTAAGTATTGCAGACACGGTAAATGAAAAACTGGGATTTAGCTTCAGCGGAAACAAGATCAATAATTCAGTTCCTTGTAAAACACGTCATGCGTTATGGTAGTAAACATAAATATATCGTTCGGTATTGTAAAATGTCACTAACAGTTCTGTTAGTAGTTATTGACGGTATGTCAATTGTTATTAAACTTTTGTTAAACCTTGCCAACAATTATTATGTTTCCAATTAACAAGTAAGCCCCCGAATGTTAAAATACTTTAACAATTATTAGTGTTCTGATTAATTAGTAAACCTAGACAAATGTTAAAATGACATGTTAGAATTTATTACGATCCTAGTAAATTTGTGAACCTTGACAAAGGATTTCTTGTGTTGAAAAATAATAAAAATTAACCAAATCGTTTATATATTAATGTGTTCTGTCAGATGTAACTCACACTAATCCAGAAAAATTAATTAAACGTAGCATGCGAACAGCGAGCGCAAATAAGGAGCTTTCAGTGCTGATTCTCTTGTTTTGTGTCGTACATATAGTCTATAATGTACTTGGTTCGAGCTCATTCACGTAATTCTGGAAAAATACATCAACATACAGTTATAGCTAACTCTTTCACACACGTTAATGTTTCACAAGCTTCATTTTATTTACATTTCTAGTAATTCCATAAGCCCCCGAAGTCTCGAAAACAAAGCCTTCATAATCGCAACACATTCGAACAGCCCAGTAATCTCTATTCCACCATATCGACTGCGACTGTTTTCTATAGAAGTTTCTCTTATGACGTCATTTCCCCTGGTGGACAGCACTGATGAGTTAGTTTTAATAGTAAAAGTACAGTATGCATGATGTATGTAAAATAAATGATTGGGTTTGGTTAACTAGTTAAATTATATAAGGTTATTGATGATCAGAAAATCTGAATAAGTGTCGAATGGCTGTATATAAAAACAGTATATGAAAAATATAGTATTTTTGTTACTTTGTATTAAAGTTACGCCCATCAGAACAAAAACTGCCACCAGGCGATGACTTACTGAAACATCTTTATACGATCTCAGCAGCATCTATCTAGCTGTAATATGTCTTAATTTATTTTCTAGTTGGATTTTGTAATTTTCAGTGTTTCAGCTTTGTTTAATGTTTACCACAAAATTAATCTAGGCCTAAAGAGTGGAATGAAACTTTACCATGGAACTCTGCATCTGCTTCTTTTGAACAACACATAAAAATGTACTAGCCTCATTTGCGCTTTTACTTTCTCCCAAAGTTCTAATTTTATACAGCCAACTTTCGATTAACTCTGTGAAACAACTGTACAAGCCTAACGATATTTTTCACTGTCTTTTTAATTTCGCAATTCTCTATATTTACGTATAAAATGATTTATTTTCACGCTTGTAGACTAGTCTTACACACGAAAGCACATTACACGAGCATGTGGTTTTTCCTAATAACTAAGAAAATACTTCATATACTTCATACTTTAAAATACTTCAAATAAAATCATATTTTAGTTAACGTCCTTACGCTCTTTACAGTCACATATAGTTCCCTTGTAAAATAGTCGACAAGGAAAGACAGTTAATTTAGAATTGTTATGCAAAATCCAAAATTACATAATAGCGATTATGAGGATTCTGTCAGTAAATTCTGAAGAACGTTAAAATTACATGGTTGCTGCTATAGAGGTTTTGAAAAATCAGTTGGTCTTGTAAGATATCAAAATGAGATCTTAGAAGTAATTATCTATTACTGATTGCTGATAAATGTTAAAATAATATGTCAGCAGCTCTTAGAGTTTCGATTACATGAAATTTAACATAAACACTATTTACTTACTACAAACATATGGCATAAAATATAGTTATTCTATTTTAATACAGATCTGCTATGATTAGGTAACGACAATGGTTATTAAAACTAAGACAATTATTAATTGATTACATGAAATTTAACATAAACACCAGTTACTTACTACAAACATATGACATAAAATATAGTTATTCTAAATAACCATTGTCGTTACCTAATCATAGCAGATCTGTATTAAAAGGTATGACATCAGTATTAAGCAGGAGCTGGTTTGTGTAAAGATTACTTGATATTACATCTGTATAAAGCAGAAGCTCATTTGTGTAAAGATTACTTGGTGTTACATCATTATAAAAAAATAGCTTGTTTTGTGTAAAGATTACTTGGTATTACATCAGTATTAAGCAGGAGCTTGTTTTGTGTAAAGACTACTTGGTATTACATTGGTATAATGAAGTAGTTTTTTGTGTGTGTGAACGAATTACTTAGTAAAATATTACAGTGCTCTCTAAATACTTTTTAACAAATGATAATTGTCTTAGTTTTAAAGTAATCTTTATATAAAACAAGCTCATGCTTTATACTAGTGTAATAACAAGTAATCTTTATATAAAACAAGCTCATGCTTTATACTAGTGTAATAACAAGTAATCTTTACACAAAACAAGCCATTTCTTTATAATGATGTAACACTGTGTAATCTTTACACAAAACGAGCTTCTGCTTTATACAGATGTAATATCAAGTAATCTTTATACAGAACAAGCTTCTGCTTTATAATGATGTAACACCTAGTAATCTTTACACAAACCAGCTCCTGCTTTATACTGATGTCATACCAAGTAGTCTTTACAAAAAACGAGTCTTTGCTTTATATAGATGTAATATCAAGTAATTTTTATACTGCTGTAATAGTATCCACAAAAATATCTTATATATATTTGCTGAAGTAGCCTTTCTGATTGGTTTCATCCAAATTAAGAGACAAGACTGGGTCTTTTCACCTAACTTGTTTAATTTGTGCGGCGAAAAATTCCTGAGGGAGATTGAGGATTTCCTAAGGCTGATCACTGGCGACAGAATTTGAACAACTTGCGTTATGCTGATGACACAGTTTTAATAGCTGATTCATAAGAGAAGTTGCACAAAATTTTAGATAAAGTTGTTAGTTAAAGTGAGAAGAAGAAATTAAGTATTAACTGCAGGAAAACTCAATACATAGTAATTACATAGAAGAATATCATTACTGTGTACATTGTCAAAGTAGATAAGGAACAGATAAGGAAAGTCAATAAATTCAACTATCTGGGAAGCTGGATAACACCAGATGGTAAGTGTGATCATGATATAAAATGGAGAATAGGAATGACAAAAAACGCATTTCTGAAAATGAAAAAGATACTGACAAATATTAAAGTCTCTGGAGACGAAGTTAAAGAGTTTTGGATTGCTATGTTATATCAATTCTCACGTATGCATCAGAATGTTATACAGTATCGCCAAGTATGGAAAAGAGAATTGAAGCAATTGAATTGTGGTTCTTAAGGCGCGTCTTGAAGGTATGTTGAACAAATCGTATCTCAAATGAAGATATTTTGTTAAGAGCAGATTGCAGGTGGAAGATGCTAACTAACATCAGAAAAAGATGGTTAGATTTTCCCGGAAATGTTATGAGGAAAGAAGAAATTGAAAGTCTGATAGTAGCTGGAAAGACTGAAGGAAGGGGAGACCATTGACATAAGTCAACCTTTGTCTTCCATTCATCCATTTAGATAGACTCAATAAAATATTTGTAGAAAGATGCTTTAATGCCACCATGTGAAATAATCAAATCTTTACGTAAGACCCCAGTGGTTTAATGGTAAGTCACTGGGCTAATAATGCTAAAAAATCAAGTTTCGATACTTGTACTGGGCAGCGCACAGGTAGCCCATTGAGTCACTTTATATTTAACCAGAAACAACTTTCATCTAAATTATTTATTTTCCTGTTTTTTAAGAAATATGATAATCACATGAAATAGAAGGAAGAAACAAATGGAATTTGTATAGCTGCATAAAATATCACATGAAATAGAAGGAAGAAACAAATGGAATTTGTATAGCTGCATAAAATGTCACATGAAATAGAAGGAAGAAACAAATGGAATTTGTATAGCTGCATAAAATGTCTCATTTGTATTCGTTAGAGATTGTTAAAATAATATTATATTTTTCTAACCTTCAATTGCTTTCCCATGTTGCTTAGTTAAATGAACATTTTCTTATAGTCATATTTGATGGAAAACAAGTCGCTTGTTTTTGAAAATATCAGTAGTACTGAAATAAAATTATATAAGAAATTTAGATAATTATGGATTCAATATTTCAGGAAATGTAAGTTGTCCCATGATTCCAAACACATGAAGTCCGTCTCGAGATTCCAGGCGGACACATTCCGTGTCAAGATTTTACACAGATGATTTGTACAAAATATAAAGGATAACTTATGTTTCTTGTAAAATTTAAACTTATACTTTACCTCTCTTCCTGACTGAAGTCGTCTGTTTTCCTGTTTCCAAGACAATGCTGTGAAGTTCTCAAAGAAACTTCCATCGGCATCTTGATCACTGAATTAAAATATATACATATATGTATATATATTTCATGTATTCATAAGTGCTGTAGTAGAAAACATATATTCACAAATAATCATTACTAGAATTTAAATTTCCTATACGTGAAAGGTCAAATTTAAAAAGATTGCCATTTCGTTCCGTTATAAATGTGCCTCACATTCGCAACAGTAATGTATATATACTAATACTCTTGATATCAGAGCTTCATTCGTTCCAAATTATTATTAAAGTCGAGTTTTGCCCTAGTTACTACCGCTGTTTAATCTTCTTGTGCATTTACTATTATAGATAGCGGCGTGTAACAAAGGTTCATCTCTTAAGGGCTGTTTTCAGTTAAGCCTTGCGATCAACAACAGTGGTAAAATCCCCCACCTATATAGTTTACGTATGTAAACAAGCTGTAGATGATTGGAAGAGTATATCTAACGTGGCACATGTAGAAACATATTGAATTCATTGAAATTTCAGTGTAATTACATTTGCTTTTATTAGTAATTACCTTCCAATTTCCAAGTTGACATATCTAAATTACATTCAACAAGATATACTATTTTAATAAACAAGGTACAGTACTTCTGTATGTCGGCATATTTGACTTGCTTGCCAGTTTAACTCAATACAACACACATAATTTAGTGTGAGGTACGTAGTTGAAGGTGTGAGACAACAAATGTGATATAGCGTGCTCAATCAATTAGTTTAATAGAAGTAGCCGTTAAATTTCCGATGTGCTATCCTTAAAATTATTATTTATATTGTAGCTTGTAGCAATTTTTTTATAATTCAACGGTACAAGAATCAGAAATAAGCTTTTGTACGAGTATTTGTGGCTTTAACGAGAAATTAGTGGGGTTTCTGAAAATGAGAGAAAGTTGTCTCCAAATGATGATGAATAAATTTGTGATTTATTTATTTCAATGTTGATTCAGTGTTTCCGAATAAGAAGGAGTCTGTAACTTCCCTAACACTGTGTTTCTCTTACCTTTACTAGATGAGAAATTAAAAAAAAAGTGGATGCTTAAATAGACACTCGAATTATACTTCTCTTGCGCTTTCTTTCAGGACGAATTTACTCAGAAGTACCTATCGGCAATTTGAAATTAAATATGAAGAAAATTTGACTACTAGACGCAAACCACTGGTGTACCAGTATTCTAAACTTACCAGGTTTAATGAACAACTGTTTGATTTTCTTGATAAGCGTCTTTGAATATTATAACAATGTTATATTTCCTGTGAATGTTTGTTACTTAATATATTAGTTTACAATCTTTAGTTATAATTACCCTTACAAGCTGACCAACTAGAAGGGAGTCTGTAGCTTCTATAGTTCTGTGTTATTCTTAAATTTACTACCTGTCCAATTCTGTGATCTTTCTAGCTTTGTGTTACTTTTACTATCAAGCCAAGTAAGAAAGAGAGCCTGCAACGTCTTTAACAATGTGTTACTTTTACTCTTACTACCTGACCAACTACAAGGCGTCATTAGCTTTTCTAGCTCTGTGTTATTCTTAGCTTTATTTCCTGTCTATCTAGGAAGAAGTCTGTAACTTTTATTCTATGTTAACCCTACTACTAAACTCACGAATAGGGAGCCATTAGCTTCTCTAGTTCTGTATTACTCTTACCATTACTACATAGTCAACTAAGTGGGATCCTGTAGCGTCTTTAGCTCTTTATTACTATTACTACATAGTCAAGTAAAATGGAGCCTGTAGCGTTTCTGGCTTTGTATTGCTATTATCATTACTACACAGGCAACTGAGTAAGACCCTGTATCATCTCTGGCTCTAACCATGCTAATGCTGCCCCATAGCTATCCAAGAGAGAAGCTAGAAACATTACCTCTAGTTTGTCCCTGGTACATAGTCATCTAGGAATAGAAAGAATACAGCTTTCAACCATCTAACTTGATGTTAGCTTCACTGCAAGTTCATTTAAAAGAAGCTGCAATTTTTCCAGTTATATGTTACCTTTAAGCGACTTTTGTTTAAAAAACACTACACTATCTAAGTCCTTGTTACTCATACATTATGTTCATTAAATAGTGACTAGAACTCTTAGTTCTCTCTTTCTTATGCCACGAGGTCATCTGAAGAAAGAGGCTACATTTCTCGGCTTTGTTTTACCTCTTCTACATGGTCATTCTAAAGAAAAGATCTTCTACCTCTGTGTTATTCTTGCTATGTGAATAACTAATGGGTGGCTATAGCTTCTGGCTGTTCAATTAAATGCCACTCGTATTTCACAGTTGAATAAAGGAAATTTTAAGCCTTTCTATTTCTTTTGCCTTCCTTATACACTCCTTTAAGGACACCATAGCTTTGTGTTATGTTGACTGATAATAAAGGTAAATCTCTCTTTTACTGAATAGTCTTTTGAAGTGGTAAGGTTGTAGTCTCTTGCTGCATGATTAACATTTAATATTAGAACTCTAATTTCCTTCCAGTAGCCCTGTAGTATTTTGCTTCATTCATTCACTCAGTGGATACTTCAATCTTTAAATATGTTTTGTGAAAACATTCATTGAAACCCGATCTTTCAGAGTGAAACATATTATTTGAAAACCAAGATAAAAAATATGCGATTTTTACAAATATGATCTTATTTTGTCGATCAAAAACCCTTAAATTTCATTGATGTTGAGTTTTCTTCATATAGCTAGCTTTTTTTTTTCTTTCTTTTCATTTCCTTGCTAAAAAGTGGAGAATTTCCTCTGAAGTCTAAGTGTGTTTCTCTCATCAATATAAATTTTATGAGTAATGAAAGGATTTATATATCTCACAGGCTGGAAATAAAGAATTTAACAAACGTGCTTTGAAAAAAAGATGTTTCGTTGAGATTTCAAACATACAATCTGATTTTCCCCTATTTCTATCGAATACTAAAAAAACAGTGTCTTGTTATCGAATGTCCGTTGTCATAGCAACTTCAATGTCTTCTTTGAAAGAATTGTTTTCCTTACTCACGGCCATTTCCTGACGACTTTCAGATTAAAGTTCAATATATTTGTCAGAACACAAACAAAGACAGATTAAAGACCAATTTCTTGGTGGTGGTAAATCCCATACGCCAAGCAGTCTTTCTGTGAATACGTGGTGTTTAACAGAATTTAGTTTATAAACAAGTGTATAATTGAACAGTTATTTGATAGCAACTTAAACATCATGTTTGAAAAAACAATTGGCTCTATTAGAGTAAATCAAACATAAAATGTCTCTAGTCATTTAGAGACGCATCTAAGCTAAACCTTCTGATAGTCAATGTTATTATTTGTCCATATTTTGCAAAATACTGACAGTGTAAAATGGAAATGCTTCCACACACAAACATCTAGTGCGCAACTTAAGGATGTGTCACGTATTAAGACTTTAGATGTTTTAAGTTACATGCGGGTGATCCTACATTTAGAAATATGATGAGCAATACACCGAAGAGTCCAAACTAAACAACTACTAACAACCTCAGGTTATAATAGGGATAAAAATTAAAAATGTCTTTAGTTATGTGAAGATACGCTTATCTTATTAATCTGGTTTGTACTGTAACAGTTTGAGCAAAGTCAAACAATATTAACAACTTGAAAAGTCGTCAGGGTTTAAACAATGCTTCCAGGTGTGTGAAGATACGACCACATCCAAACAGTTGGTCTATCTCTCTTTAGGTACTATATCCAAACAGAACATTGGTGATTATGGTTTCCCACAGATCTCTTACCCCTGAGACATAAAGAATTTCCAATGCCGATACAGTCGAACTGGCATGAGTGTAGTTTCCAAATACATAAAATATTTATTAATTAAGGTGAACTGTAGTTAATGTCATATAAAACGAAAACACTGTTAATGTTATCGAAGTTTCACTGGAAAAAAATGTCAATTTCAAAACTATTCAATAATAAGAGTACCCGTTTCTAACCAGTATTTAGGTTTATTGCATATATGCCTTTATAATGAATGTGGTATTATAGCAATAAAAAGGACAGTTTTCCTACATATTTATACAAATAATGGAGTTTAGTTTTACTGATCAACATGCGCAAAGTAAGGATGTATGCTTTAATTCAAAGAGGTATGGTATAGGTTGAATAACAATTTGTAATGAAAGCAGTAAAGGAAAGAACAGATAGATTGATTAAATAAACTGTGTATTGATTACATAATCTATAGAGAAGACTGGTGTTAATCGAAGTGGTTACTATGCTATTCCACTTACTGAAAATTAATTTATACATATCAGAAAAGCAAATTAGGTAAATTTTAATAGAAAATTTAAGCTTTATCTCTCTGACTACGTTCTTATTTTACGAATATATCTTATACATGTTTGTCAGGGTTTTAATTTTTAAACCATGACGAATTAGGGAAACACTATTAAATTAAAGCATCTATTATCGACTCAGTATTATCTTGACTTATCTAATCCGGATAATATCAATCATGTAAAGAACAATTACACATTTCAAGCTGAGAAATTAATGTTTAATACACTAATACAATACTCACATACACACGTAGCCGATAATGTAGCTTTGTGATTAATAACAAACAAACGAAAAAACAATTTGAAGTGGCATTTTTTAAAATAATTTTTAAAGGCTCACGGTGACTGAGATTTATAGCCTCGCTCAAGGATATATAGCTTATTCCTATGGATGTACATTGTTCCTAATTGGATCTAAAACTTACAAGATATAACTCATACATTGAGATGTATGATATACGCTGAATGACATAAAATTTGTACCTAGTTTCAGTTCTGATATGTAACTGGAAAAACCAATATCACAAAAAAGTATTATGCTATCAAATCGTTAGCGTTTTTCTTAATATGTGTTTCTGTTTTTTGGGTGTTCCTTTTTTGTTACGCACATGCATGGTTGCACACATTGAAGCTACTTTCGCCCTTAAAACGACTAAAAGTCACTAAAATAAATTAAGTTTGTAAAGCATTAAACATGCCATAATTTATACCTTAAGAAGAAAAGTTTG